TCTCTGAGCATTTGGGGTAGAGGGGTTAGGGGATGGAGTAGAGACACATGTGACTGGGGGACTCTGGCGGGCAGGCAGATGTACCACAGCACGGAGGGTTGCCAGACAAGCAGAGCAACAGACACTATGGCCTGGCATAGAGGAGGGCACTGTGCCTGCTCCCAGTTCTACAGATCCTTCACCTCCCTGAAATCTATCCTGGACTGGCCCTGGCCTGGTGGGGCAAATGCAGGTACCAAAGGAGACAGCAAAGTCCTTCCCCAGACTGCTGGGTCCACATCTGCAGCATTCTGGAGAACTCCCTGCTTCCCCCTTTCACTCTGGCTTAGAGGTGAGGCCTTCTTCTTGCTCGGGATCATATTTATGAACTCCCCTGTGGGCTAGGGACCATCATCCCCCTCTGGGTGGAGCAGTTGCTCCCACTGCCCTCTAGACCCAGCAGCCCTTCCATCCTGCCCATCCTGCCCCCATTGTGGCTGCTACTGGAGATGACTTGGAGCTTAGTCCAAGGGTGGCGATGTCCACAGCACCATGAACCTCTGGCTGCTGAGGGAGGGAGTGTAAATGGCCTCCAATATTCAGGAGGGTTGCTTGTTCCTCAGAGATGCCCAGAGGGTCAAGGCCAACTAATCTTTTTTTTATTATTATTATTTTGATTTTAATTTGCTAATATTTATTTTAAAACTTTGAGTTTCAAAGTCTCTCCCTTTCTCCCTCCCCATCACCACCCCGTCCCTGAGAAGGCAAGCAATTCCCTATTTGGGTTGGAAGGCAACTAGATGTGATCCTGAGATTACAAAGCTCCTGCTTGTTAGAACGGCCGGCACCTGACCCATGAAAGGTAAAGACTGTGTTATATCCACTTGCCACCATTGCCTCTCAGGATTTCATCTCAAATATATCCCTTCATTCTGAAGCTGGAATTCAAGAGTCTCCCCCAAAGATCTTTGTTGGTTTATTTTTCAGATTAGTGGTATGGTAACATGACAAACACATTCTTGACACTGGTAAAAATTACATTTGACCTGTGTGTCAACACAACTTATTTTAACCTTCCTCAGAACTCATTTCTTGATTTGCAAATATGTGTGTATATGTGTGCATGCATGTATACGCGTGTGCCATGTACACATATGTATACATGTGTGTGCGTGTGTGTCCGTGTGTGTGTCCGTGTGTGTGTGTGTGTGTGTGTGTGTGTGTGTGTATTTGATGTTTCTCTGATCTCTGACATTCCACCCACTTTGGATGCAAATATCATTGGCTCAGATTCTATCGTTTCTCTATAATAATAATCTGGCTAAATAGGGAAATTCTTAGTTAAATAAACAATTTCTTTACTCTTTGAATTATTATTGATATTGAAATAAGCCAGATAAAGTGTATATACCAAGAAACCTGACCCACACATATAAAACATACACACACATGAATGCAGGGCCATCATTGATACCCTAAAATTTGGGGGCTGAAAGCTACTACATGTTATCCTATATGTAGTAAGATAGAGCCGAGGCTCTCCAGAATGTCCGGTATCATGACTGTTGAAAGGCAAAAGTCATTCTGTTATATGGTTGTCAGATTGGGCTGAGGGGCAGCTGGGGTCAGCCCAGAACTTGCTGCTGCTGGCCCTTGAAACCTGCAGAAGAGTGGGTCGCCCCTGCTGCCTTCTGGAGGCAGTGACCAGCCCTGTGGTATGAACTGCTGCCTTCCCCCCTGATGGTAAGAGGCAGAAAGGACAGCGATACCTCTGTGGCCATCAGTATTT